TTTTAATGTGGTTATATGACATTTAAAAATGCTTATAACAAAAATAACCATTTCTAATAACAGATTTCATATGCACTTCTGTACATGGAAACTAAGTACTTTTAACGACCATCAATGAGAAAAAAATTAATAACCTATCAAACAAATACCAACTAAATAAACCACAGCAATTATCTACATCCAGATTTTACTTTTGTAATTTGTAAATATAAAATAAATCTCTAATATGGATGCATTATTATTAAACATAATCTAATATTTAACTTAACTAAAAAAATTTAAGAATAAAATTAATGTCGCAATTTTTTAAAGTTATTAGCATTAAATTATAAAATTTCTTGACACATTTATAATAGTCCAATATATTTTAAAAAAGATAAGCGGCTTTTCATTTAAATTTTACTAACAGCTTTACATTGATTCTTTCTTTTATGCCTTATTTTGCCACATAGTCGCTCAGACTAGAGGTATGTGCAAATTTCACGTCAAGTGGTTTAAGTAAAATTGTGAAGTAAAATGATAATCAGCATGACGCATAACAAAAGCTTGACTGTTGCCACTGCAGCTGCTTGCTTGGAAATAAAACCCAGAACAGACATAAACACCTGACACTGGTATGGTTGCAAATGTTGAAAGTCAGCTGCACTTTGTCTAAAACAGCATCGTAACTTCATGTAGATTTGCTCCAGTTGTAACCCAATTAATATTTTAATATAAAGCTCCAATAAGACGCTGAAGCATCAGAGATGATAGGTTGTTTTGTATTATTTTAAGTCTCATTAGCTGTAAGGCATAAAGTTTTAAGCTAATTTTCATATTTTTGTGTTGTATCTTGCATTCACAATAAGGATTAAAGAAAGAAGACAGGTCACCTTAACAAGTAGAGATAACATCCAACGATAAGCAGTTAGCAGTAATTAAATTATGGAGTTAGATACCATTACTCATAATAGATTTACATGGTTACAATTACATATTTTTTATTTCTGAAAAATATCTATTAAAAAGCACTAAGAATATTTTACAGCAGTTAAGATATTGATTCTAAAATGATATTAGAATAATTATACATTAAAACCTACAAAATATAATATTTTTGTAATAATAAAACATTTATGTGTCTTTTTAAGTTGAAAATTTTTCAAATATTTTTACTAATTTGCAGTAGTTTCCTTCTCTTTAGCATCTTTTCTAAGTCCATTTGATTCTATAAACAGATCAATGTTTCCACTACTCTCTGCTTCATTGAAAAGTTATTAATGATTTAACAGTGTACACCTTGCATTAAAAAACGATAGTTCTATATATACTGCTTTACTGGACCGATTATTGAAATTTAACTTGCGTTTCTCACGTCTCGAAAGTGCGATTTAGGATATATATTAGATTTATAGACATAGCATTATTCTAACATAGATATTTTGAGACAAAATCGAACTTTTTCTGAAATAACATACCAATTTTTTTCCTATATTTTGATTTTATGGTTAAAATTATGCCTAGATATTAAGTTTTGTAATTTTTGGTGATAAATTCCCCCCTCCAGTTTGCGAATAATTCACTTGGCGAACTTTTTAATTTATAGCAACCTATTTTTTCCTGTTTTCTATTGTACAAGAGTGGAAAAAGGGTCATCGTTCATTACTTTAAAATAATTTTAACAAAGTTTATAAACCACATTCAGCATTATTATCACTTAAAACAAATATACTAAATTTCAAAACACGCCAATATGTAAATTCATGTATATCTTACGAAATTTTGAATAAAAAATCTAATTTTCCGCAAGTATGCTTAGAAATACATCTACTTTAAGATGATAATAAACATTTTACAGGTTATAATTAATTTTTTTTAAAAAAAAGTTATAAAAATTATTTGAAAATACAAATTTTAAAAATAAATTACAAAAAATAGGCAAATTTTATTTGAAATGAACCTAAATTTCAAAATGTGAAAGGAAGAATCAAATATGTTTAATAAAAAAAGAGATTTTAATAAATATATACAAAATTCAATTAACACGGAGGAGCTGAAATTTTGAAAGCTAATTTTTAAAAAAACTACTCGTGTGATTTTCACAAAACTTGCCACTTTGACATAATTTGAGTTGTAAAATTGAAATATTGAAAAAAAAAAAAAAAAAAAAAAAAAAAAAAAAAAATGGTATGCTATTTCAGAAAAAGTCCGATTTTGTGTCAAAATACCTGCATTGGAACTATGCTATATATAAATCTAATATATATCCTAAGTTGCGCATTCCAGACATGGAAAATGCAAGTTAACCTTCAACAATCGGTCCAGTGGAACGGGAGATATAGAACTGTATAATTTTATTTATTTATTTATTTTTTTCTGTGCAAGGTATACCTTTGAAGAATAATTTTCTCTTTCTTTATAAAATTAATTTCTTTTTCGAATTTCCTTTTCATTTCAGAATTTTCAGATTTAATTAAAGATTTCTGTTATTTAAAAGTATGTGTATTTAATTATGGCAAAGCTCACTAGGGCTATCTGCCTAAGGGGAGGGATGCCTTCGTGGAGGACTTTCTAAGGGAAACTGGCTTGTATACATGTTACACATGGGGAAAACCACGAAAACACCCATGCAGCCAGCCCGTTCGCGGGATTCGAACCTCGGACCGAACTACCAGTGTTCAGCGACTTTACCGCTTGGCCGCTGGTGAGCCTTGTTATTTAAAAGAACTGCTTGTATTTAGAATGTGCAGAAGAAATTGCTTATTTTATTTCTTTAATAATATGAATATTGAGAACAAATATGAAATAGTAGAAGGTCAAGGTTAGTGCTACAGCCAGGGTGGCAGAAATTTTAGAATTTAGTTAAGCACCAAGCTACAAAATTTAGGGCAGGCACTGAGGTATGTATGGTGCACTGAGACATATAAGATGAATCTTTTAATAATGTCGGTTTTCAATTTTGTTGCTTGCTTCAGTGCTTGTGTCAAGTTGAAAGCTAAGAAAATAAAGGGAAGATAAACATGTTAAATGACAGACTTCTGGGATCAAAAGGAGAACATTTAAATAATTTTGTTTTCATTGTTCTTCTAAAAATTCTCCAAAAGATGAGAAATTAATCAAAATTTTCCTATAAAATATGTCCATTACGTGTTAATAAAATCCAAAAGAAAACTTATACCTACCAAATCTATAAGAGCAAAAGCCAAAAGACTTTTTTTTGGGGGGGGGGGAACAGAAGACAGAAGTCCAAATTGAGTTTTCAAGAGAAAACTGATATACATATTAATATTCTGAAACAATTACATAGGGGAAAACTCTTATCATGAGATAATATAAGAGAAGACAAATGGAATTATATTTTAAATAATTACAGGATTTTTTTAAGAGTTGTTTCGGTAACTTTATTTAGCATTTATTATCTTGTTTATTTTTAGAATCAAAATATTCCTAAGTCACCAAAATGGAAAGTTAATGTCACTTTAAAAGTATGACAAGAGAACATTTTTAAAAAATGTGGGCTATTTCATAATATAATTTTAATATATTTATCAATGTTATTATGTTTGCAAGAAAAATCATCAAAAATTTTGCATAAAAACTGATCTTGAAAATGCCAAAATGTTGATAGTTGCCACATTTAGCACTACATAATTTAAAAAGAATTCATTAACCCATCAAATACATATTTGTCAATACATTGGCAAAAAAGTATTCTTCCAAAATGTTAATTCACACTCAAACAAGTAATCGGGGGGGGGGGGAAGACAGAAATGTCAGATGAGTAAAATTAAGAACCTTTTGCCGGTTTTGGTGAAATTAAGGACTTTTAAATATAAAAAATTGTTTTAAAAAAACCTTTAAGGAACTTAAACCTTTAACCTAAGGACTTTTAAGGACTGTGGACTTGTAGTAAGAATTCCGAAGTAAAGTATCTAGAGTCTTTATGATTTCAAAAATTCCCCAAAAAGTTTAAAAGAACCTTTTAAAAACATTCAGTTTAAAATATATAGTCAAAAGTCGTTAATCCGGACGTCCATAATCCGGACCTCAAAGCTACAAACTTTCTGTGCATGCGTAAAGGTATTATACGTTTACGCATGCACGTTTAATGTATAACAGACGGTATAAGCTAAGCTAAAATTATCTAATTATCTATTTCAGTTAATGTTGCAGATTGCGTTGTTCCTTAATCTTCGAATTGGATCCGGCTTATTATTTTTTGCAGACTGTTAGAGCAATTTTATAAAAGTAAGCTTGAACTTTCGATTATGTCAAAAAAGAATTTCCGATTCTGGAGCTAACAAAGGATCTACAAAGCGAAAGCATGTTTTGATGTCAATCAAACAAAAAGTGGAATGGCTGCAAAAAATGGATAAAGGCATATCCTTTGATTCTCTAACCATTCCGAAATCTGTTTATCAATTTCATGCTGCTCTGCGGGAGAAGGGGGAAACGTCACGGCACGCAATGAACTGGAAGTTGATCTGTCAGCACTATCCTTATCTTCAGGGCAGATGTTTTTATTTTATTCGGCTTATAATTCCTTACTAAATGTAGTATTTCATCTCTATGTACTCCCTCTTTGATATGATTTAAATCAAATTCCTCGTCATTATAAATATCACGAATACACATCAAATAGTTTTCTGGTTGCAATTTTCTAATTTAGACTATGTGGAATGTATGCTTTATGCATGCGCGCATTAAAAGAAATGTTTAATAAAGTAAAAATATAAATATTAAGCTTTTTTTTTTGTAAATTTTGATACCCTTTAGATCCTAATTGCTCTCTATTTCATAAATTACGGTTTCATATTTTTAATTTTATAATTTCTGCATGCCATCTTACCAGATTTAAATTGATGATCTATAATCCGGAAAAATCGATAACTTGGAATCGCTGAAGTCCCGACGAGTCCGGATTAAAGACTTTTGACTGTATTATAAATATCATATCTAAATATGTTTCACTAACGAAAATTTTTTAAAAAAGTAAGCGTAAGGAAAGATGAAAAACTTACTAAATATCATCATAGATACAGTTTAAAATTTCTGGCCATTTCTCCTTACATATTGTCTCAAAATCATTTTTAAGATGCTGTGTCATGTCTCGTAACTGTAAGTATAATGATAATGAAATTTTAAAACATTACTAAAATATGCACAAGAAAATGGTTAAAAAAATTTTAAATTTCACTAAACAAATTGATTTGAATCTTTGGCCCTTGAACTAAATCTCTTACACTTAATGCAACAATGTACATCAGCTGCAAATAATAATAGATTATATTATTCAAAAGCAGTTAAGGGGAAAATGTTAATCTTTTGCAGTATGTCTACTCTCAGCCACCAAAGTGTTTTTATTATTCCCAGTCGTATGACTGCTCTCTGCTACTGTAGCAACGAACCATACAGTTCTTATACAGTACAAATTCTGTAATCCGGACGAACATTATCCGGAATGATCTATAATTCGGACCTAAAAGCCATAAACGTTTTTTTTTTTTTTTTGTATGCTTTACGCATACGCGTTTAATGTTATGCATGTGCATTTAATGTTTACACATGCGCATTTAGCACAAAAAAACAAAGCAACTTAAACAACTTACATCGAAAGAAATGTTAACAAATAAATATTAAGCTTTTTTTTTTTTTTTTTTTGTAAATTTTGATATTGTTTAGATCATAATTGCTCTTTTTTTCATAAATTATGGTTTCATATTTTTAATTGTATAATTTCTGCATGCCATCTTACCAGATTTAAACTGATGATCTATAATCCGGAAAAACCCTTAATCCGGAATCGCTGAAGTCCGATGAGTCCAGATTACGAACTTTGTACTGTATTATATTAAGTCTTTACAATCTTGCATAATGCTACTGTTTATTCAACGAAAATTAATTTTGACTAGCATGATACACTATATACACCAAAGGGCCATTACATTATGACCCTGTTAATAACATGCAGGACCAATTTTAGCCCTTAAAACTGCCAGCACCCAGCATGGTATTGACTAATAGGTATTATGAGGTATCTGGTACCAAGTGCTCACCAACTGGTCCTGAAATTTCCGCACATTGGAAAGAGCATGGTAGCCCGAGTTTAGTTTTCCAGATGGGACCACAAATGCTCCATTGGATTAATAACAGGTGAATTTGGAGGCCAACACATGACTTGAACAGGGTTCGTACACATTTCTGCACACAGTACTTTTAAAGACTTTAAAGGACCATTAATGAAAAAAATTAAGAGCAATTGGGAACTGAATAAATTCAATTAAAAATATTATCCATGCTCGAACTTCACTTTTGTAATGCCATTCTAAAAATAAAGTAGGATGCATTATTATTAAACATAACTTAATTAACATAACTATTAAGTTTGAGAATAAAATAAACTTTATGAAATTTATCAAGTAACATTAAATATTTTACACTTATAATAGCTGGACATGTTTGAAAGATTAGTGACATTTTATTTAAGTGTATGTTAGCTTTATGCTGATTTTTTTTTATGTCTCATTTTGTCACATATTTGTTCAGTCTAGAGTTTTAGTAAATAGCAGGTGGAATTTATGTCAAGCAACATAGGTTAAAATGAGAAGTATAATCATAATCAGCATAATCCATAACAAAAGACTGGCTATTGTCACCACTGCTGTCTGCACAGAGATAAATCTGCTGATCACAGCAAACCTGAACGGCCTGATGTACACACACACTTGAGGCTCTGTTTGACGCAGAGCTTCATGTACAGCTCCAGGGGTTGTAACCCAGTTAATATACTTCAAGGTTCCAAAAAGCCACTAAAGCCCCACGGGTGATAAGTTGTTTTGTATAATTTGAAGTCAAACTAGATGTGAAGAATAAGTTTTACATGAATGTTTACGTTTTCGCGTTTTAACTTGTGACCACGGTAAGGATTAATGAAAGGCAATAATTCGCTTTAATATGTAAAGATAATTTTTAAGGGTAAGCAGTTCGTTATAAATAATTAAAATTAAATAGTCATTATGGATTTATATGATCACCATTAAATTTTATTTATTTTTTAACAATATTTGTTAAAAAAGCCCTATCAAAATCAAACTCTAATAAAATTCCACAGTTCAAAAATACATGTAATTTATGACATTGATTCTTAAACGATATTAGGATAATTACACATTAAAATCTACAAAACATTTATGTTTTGTAGCAACAACACTCAACAAAATATTTATGCCTCTTTTTTATGAAGCCTTCCCAGACATTTCGACTAATTTATACCAATTTCCATCTCTTTAAGGATCTTTTCTAACAATTAGAAATTTGTCTCAATACGCAAACCGATGTTCTCACTAGTTTCTGTGTGCTTTATCTCCTAACTTGTCAACCTCTCCACAATGTACCCATGAGGGTTTACTTGATCTGGTAAAAGTTAAACAGCCCCAAATCCCCCGACAGACGTGAAGCAAATTTTGGCTATGTCTGAGAGTAACTACAAAGTCAAACAAAGGTTTGAACGAACCTCTTATTTAAAAAGAATTTAGAACATAAATGCAAGGTCTGATGCTCACAAAATTAATTACAGCTCGTGGTGATGCAATTAAACCAGAACAGTCAAATTCAAACTAAAAATGTGGAGTAGTGGTCAACAACTATAAGTTTAATTTAATCTGGCTCAGTAAGGTTTTAACTCTGTCATTATAAATTCAAATGTCTGCAGCAATAATTCAAAGATGGAATAATTGCAAATTATCAGAGCTGGCAGGAACTACAGCAGCGAGCAAGCAGTGGTCAGAAACACACTCTGTCTTGTACTCCAAAAACCTCAGTTTAAAAACTGTCTCAGTAATTTGCATTCTGGTGAGGGAATAGAAATGGGAAATTATAATAAAGGCTGAAATTACAAACAACTGTGTAATTTACATAATAATAACTGTACAAATCTTTGAAGAATGATTTTCTTTCTCTTCAAGTGTTCAGTTTCTCCCTTCAACATCTTTTCTTTTCATTTTAGAATTTTTGGACTTAAAGATTTCTGTTATTTCTAAAAAACTAAATGCATTTAGAATGTATAGAAAAAGCTTCTAATTTTACTTTTTTAGTAGTAATATGAAGATTCAGAAAAAATATGAAATATATATGGTAAGAGCCAGTTACAGAGCTGGTGTGGCAGAATTTTTAGAATTTAGTGACACATCAAGCAACAAAATCTAGAAATGGCAAAACATTTAGAATTTAGAGCAGGCACTTGGAAGCAGAATTTAGAAAGGCACAAGGCAGCAGAATTTAGGATCCGCAGAGATCCATCAGATGGGAAAATGCCTAGCACCAACCATGTGTGTGATGCATTAAGACATCAGATAAATCTCTTAAATTGTCAGGTTTCTTTATTAATAAAAAAAAATCCTTTCTATAATGCCTGTCCAAGTGATAAGATTAGAAGTATTTTTGGTATTTTCCATGCCTGCATCTAGTGAAAAGTAGAGAAAATAAAGGGAAGATAAAAATGTTAAGAAAAATATTCTAGTATCAGAGGGTAAAAGATTCAAATATTATATTTTCATTGTTCTTCCAGACATTCTCCACAAACTAAGAAATTCATCGCAAACTTTCTGTAAAATACATCCAATGCATTTTAATACCATGGAGACATTTTTCATTTTGTTAGATTTTTCTGGAATCTTCTATAATTGTGAGTCTATAAATCTCGCCTTCAAATCTTTCTAAACTTTCTCAGCTGCAATGCCTAAAATTCCAAAGAAAAACTGCACCTACCAATTCTGTAACAGAAAAAAAGACCAGAAATATTTTTTTTGGGGGGGGGAAAGAAAGAAATCACAGGGGCAAAAGTGTAAAATTAATTTTGTAGAGAAAGCTGCTGCATATTCTGAGAAAATTACATGGGGAAAACTCTTACCATGAAAAAATTAAAAAGAAGACATATTTAATTAATTACACGGCTATTTTGCTTTTGCTAACAGTTTCATAAACTGTGCTTTATAAAGCATGCACCTTGTTTGCATTATACCTTGCTTATTTTTCAGAATCAAAATATTGTATAATAAGTAGCCAAAAGGGAACTTTATAATATGACAGTGAAAAATAAAAATGTTTTATTTTAATGATATTCCTTAAATATAATTTCAATATATTACCATTGTTTTAATGTAATTTATCAATGTTACAATGTTTTAAAAAATCCTTGAAAAATTCCCAGATCTTGGAATTAAAAATTTTCTATAGAAACTGATTGTAAAATCACCAAAATGTTGATAAGTCGCCAAATTTAGAACCGTTTAATAAAAGAATTCACATCCCCAAAAGTGAAAAGTTTATCTCGAGAAGATCGAATATTCCACCATTTATATTAGAAATAGGAACAAATTATAACCCATTCACCAATTCAAAAGATAACCATATTTGTCAGTGTATCGCCAAAAATATTCCTCCAAAATGCTAATTCACACTCAAAATGGCAGTCGTATAAACTGTTGCAGCTGGTGGTGATTTTGACTGTTGTAGCTCTTCGGTCATGGTGAACAATGTGTAGCAATCTCCACTCTCCTCTGGAATCTGTGCACTGTCGACGACACACTGCAGGCCGGCGACTTGTCGTTTCATCATCCATACACCACTTTAGATATGTGCTCGCAACTGCATGTGAACAGCCCACTAAATGCACCATTTCTGATATTGATGTTCTCAGTTGCCGAGCCACAACGATTTGACCTTTATCAAAGTCTCATAAATCAGCTGCTTTTCCCATCATGTCACAAATCATGCTATGTTTGGAAAGACAATGAATAGTAGTTTTATATACTCCAACATCAGCTGTGCACATGCAGTGGTTTTTGTTCCCGGGCGAGCCCATTGTATAGATGGAGGGTGGTCATAATGTAATGGCTTTTTGGTGTATAAACTTAATATGACAACAGAGGGTTAAAAAATAACATAGTTATACAGCCACAATAATGGAATTATTCAAAATTCAGTACCAATGATACTGGTTCAGCAGCTATTCCATCTTTAGCTTCTCCAGTACTCTTAAAATATTTCTCCATATCTTCACTTGAAAATGAAACTAAAAAGAGAATACACATCATGAGTATTTAATAGTAAATCAATGTAAAATTATTTTTTAACTCTTAGAAACCTTTCGAGCCATTATGATTGCAAAATATGGGTTCATACACTTATTTGTACCTGAAAATTAGGACCATCAATGAAAAAAATTAAAGACCTATAAAGCAAATAGGAAATGAATAAACTAAAGCAATTATCTACACCTAAACTTCACTTTTGCAATATCACTTTTTAATTTTTAAGAACAAAACAAAACTGTAAGTAGGATACATTATTATTAAACATAATCTAACATTTAACTTAACTATAAAGCAAATCAAGAATAAAATTAAATAAAATTTTTTAAAGTTATTAACATTAAATTACAAAATTTCCTGAAATATTTATATTTTATATTTAGAATAGTCCCACATATTTTAAACAAAGTTAATGGCTTTTTATTTAAATATTACAAACATTTTGTTTTATACTAATTCCTTATTTTATGCTTCATTTTGTCACATATTCGTTCAGTCCAGAAGTATATGCAAGTGGCACAGTTTAAACTGTGGAGTAAAATACCAATAAAAATAGAAATCAGCATGACTCATAACAAAAGCTTGGCTTTGCTACTGCAGTTGTTTGCTTAGAGACAGAAAGCACTGATCAGAGCCAATTTAATTAAAAAATTTTGTTAAACATTACATTAAAATTTTTGTTAATTCTAAAGAACTGGTTGTACTTAGAATGCATCGAAGAAACTTCTAATTTCATTTCTTCAATAATAGGAGCTCTGAAAATAAATATGAAATAACATAAGGTCAAGATCAGCCCCACAGCCAGCATGGAAGAATTTTTAGAATTTGATGAAATATCGAGCAACAAAATTTAGGGCAAATGTTTCAGAATTTAGGGCAGGCACTCAGTTATATATATGATGTACTAAGACATACATGATGAATCATTTAATTCATTGTGGTTTTCAATTCCTCTGCTTTCTGCGATTGCTTTGATGCCTGTTTCTAGTGGGAAAGATAAGAAAATAAACGTATTAAGAGAAATATTTCTGGGATTAAAAGAAGAAAATGCAAATAATTTTCTTTCCACTGTTCCTCAAAAACGTCTGCAAAAGATAAGTAATTCATTGCAAATATTCTATAAAACACATTCATTAGATGTTAACAATCATCCATTAGTAGGTATATAAATCCTGCCTTTAGACCTTCTGAGGTGCAAGATCTAAAATCTGAAGGACAAATTATTCCTAACAGCTCTGTAAGAGCAAAAAGCCCAGAGGTTTTTTGAAAACAAATTTAGAAAAGAGAAGGGTTAAGTGAATTTTCAAGAGAAAAATGATACATACTTAAATATTCTGAAACAATTACATGGGGTAAAAGCTCTTAACATGAAATAATATTTAAAAAAAAGGACAAATGAAATTAATTTTTAAATTATTAGAGTAGCATTTCTTTTTCTAAGAAGTATTTTGGAAACTATGTTTTATGGCATTTATTATCTTGTTTATTTGTCAGAATCAAAATATTTCCAAGTCACCAAAATGGAACGTAATGCTCTTTAAAATATGGCAGGAGAAAACAAAATTGTTTTATTTTAATGTTATTTTTTAAATATAATTTTAATTTATCATTATTTTTATGACATTTATCAATGTTATTATGTTAGTTAAAAAAATCCGTAAAATTTTGCAAATCTCTGAATAAAATATTTGTACACAAACTGATTTTCAAATTGCCAAAATATCGATAAGTAGCTAAATTTAGGGCTGTGTAATAACAGAACTTGTATCTCAAAAAGGAAAAAAGTTGTTTTTCAATTTTATGAATTTTTCATTCCCATGGGGAGTGAGGGGCACAGTTATTTTGAAATATTTATTTTTCAATAGTATCTAACACTTGAGTATTCACCATTTATGTTAAGAAGTAGGAAAACCTTCAAACGTTAACCCATTAAACACATATTTGTGAAAAAATATGTAAATTCACACTTAATATAGCAATCGTAAAGAAACAGACAGGAATGACAGATGAGTAAAATTAAGAACCTTTTGCTGGTTTTGGCCGAAATTGAGGACTTTTTTTAAGGACTAAAAATTGCTTCCAAGAAACCTAAGTTTTTTTACTTCTCCAATAACCTAAGGACTTTTAAAGTACCATACAAACCCTGAAAATATTAATGTTTATCTAAATGTGATTTGGCTGCATAATATTCTACGCTTTAATGTAATACCACATTCTCCCTTTTTTTACTAATTTAATCAACCGAGAATAAAAAGAGGAAAATTACAACATTATACACAATTTAATTTTTGAAGGACACAGTTACAGTACGAATATAACAAATGGAATGTAGTCATGGATAAACTACTGATAACTATCACAATTTTATTTCTTTAAAATAAATTTACATTCTGGTAAGAATGCATTGTAATATTAACATTAAAGCATCTAATAAAATAGCTTCATTTCTTCTTCCCTGTAACTTGAGTCTCACTTGTTTCCTATTGTTGTTCACTTCTACTCCCTAGACCTCAAATCATTCAATGCTGATGGAACTACTGTCTCCATCATCTGCTATAGCTTACGGTCATCACCATTGTCATCGTAACTTTCAGAGAAAGTCTTTGAATGATTTATTCACTGACACATCCAATGGTTTCCGAAGTGACATAAGTCTTCCTGAAATAATGAGAGGAACAGTGTTTATTTATTTATTTTTTACATCTTCCACAAGATGTCCATAGAAACTGACCAAGACCAATAGTGCCTTCTCATGTAGAAGAGCACCAGGGCAACAGTTCCCATATAATTTTGAGCCAGTCTTTCATTAAGTCGACATCTAACCTTTCTCGTGTAACCTAACTATGATATCATCAGGAAGATTTTGTTTTAGCATCACCTTCCATTTAAAAACTATGAAAAATAGAAATTTTTTATCTTCAGTAGTCAGTACTAACATTACTCTGCAAGGCATCTTTCAGCTCTTACTAGTACTTACTAACAGAGAAGTTGTTTCCTTTTAACTTAAGTTAAAAGGAAAGTTGTTAAGCTTGTTCCAAAAATATAGAGTTTGATCTGCATTTTCTTTATGTCCAAGACCCTAACCGTAATTTTTTTTTTTTTTCTGGATCATGAATCTGTGAAATTCTAACACCTTTCCTTCATAAGATTTTGGTAGACGTTAAGCAAATATTGTTTTAAACAATCAAACCATCCTTTCCTCACTTTAAACTCTTGGGCTGTAATAACACATTTTTTCACTTCAGCCCTTGCTTTCATTTGTATCATTTCATGCGACAGAGCTATACCATTGTTTCTTTGTTCCTCCACGTAATTTAGCACTTCACTATCAATTTCTGGAAAGTTTCTAGTTTTTGGACATGAAACAATCTCTACTCCAAATTTGTCTTTGTCAGTGAATTTTTTTTCTTTTTCTCCAGTATCTAATTCAAGTAGATTGAACACCAAATTGTCTACTGTCATATTTGACACTATTAACTTCAACAAATTTTAAAACTTTCAATATACATTTTGCTATGTAGCTGTGATTATTTTCTTTCCCTTGATTTTGAAAATTTGCAGTACACAGCATTCATACTGCATACACACCCAAAAGAAGCTGCTTCTAACTACAAATTCTCGATCCTAATTGAAGAACCAAATTAAGTCAATGATGTTAAAGCCATGATTATAACGTAGAATGTGATATGTCTGCCTTAACTGCCTTGTAAAGCTCCAAAGGCACCTCACACAAACAAGACTTGACCACAGTTCTCGAAAGTAACACTAGAAGAAGGAAGGAGAAGAGGACGAACAAACAATATGGATTTTTTTAGATCGAACAGTAGATAGGGCTACAAAGAGCTGGAACATAGATAATAAAAGTAAAGTGTAATCAGATGTTTCAAAATTTTTTTAAGTGTGAGAATACCTGACACATCCAGATAGCTTAATGAAGAATTTGCCCAAAATATGTTTCAAATAATAAATGCAAGGAAAAATAAAGTGGATGAAATGGCAATACAAATAAAATACATTGAATAAAAATAATGAAAGGAATGCAATTTACCACTAAACTAGCTTTCCGATGGAAAAACTATGTACAATAGAGCAAGGGGGAACTTATTTGAATGTTTTTAAAATTTTCAGGCTGGAAAGCTAGGAGGAAAAATATGCAAGGCAATATGGTAAATGTAATGAAGATAGTTTAATGAACTGAAGAATTTTTAAGAAACAATTAACTGAAACAGAGTAATGCTGGTTTATTTGATTTATGGCAAAGAACACTATAGCAGTCTGAATATGAGGAAGAATGCCTTCAAAGAGGGTTTTCTATGGAAAATCAGTCTGTAAGAGCCCGCATGAGGAAAATACATGAAATTCTCATGCAGCCAGCCCATTCAACTGACAAAAAAAATAGAGCCCAGGACAGATTATTAGTTTCCTAACATTAAACAGCAAATGACTGGCAAAAACAGAATTATTTGTGTACATTAAGGCGAATGTACACAAATATTAAAAGATTAATGGAAAACATTCTCGATATAAACACAAACTTTTAAGAACCACAATTTCGGAATTAACATATCTTAGTTATTTCCGAAAAAAAAAAAAAAAAAGCTTAATATTTATTTGTTTACTTTATTAAAAATTTCTTTTAATGTAAGTTGTTTAAGTTGCTTTTTTTTTTTTTGGCACTAATACTTTTTTTTTCTGTAGACAGACATAATCTCTTGTTCAGTTACATTGTTGATGTCCCGTAATTGCTGTGGACAAGAATTCTGACTAACTTGTCAATCGAAATTTTTTCGTTTTCAGTAACTTCTCTATCACTTAGTTAAACGTTAAACAGGTTTACATACAGACATCTCAGTCCTCTAAGCAGCATGATGGACTTTATCTGTCATAAGATTATTTTTGGTCACTTGGTAAATATTACCTTATAATTTAAGATACTTTGCTTTCTTACTTTCTTTAATAATGTAAATATCATCTTAATGAATATATGCTAGATACTAAAATAAGTAATTATGCAAATTTACCTAATAAATTTTGTTTAAATACAGGTTTTCATGATAGATCCAAAAACCTGTGCCGCTTGGAGAGTTAAGGAGGTGTACATCTTAAACTCCCACCATATAGTGGGCGTATTTTTGCATTTAGTCAGCAAAATTACTTCTGCTTCGTGGCGAAACTACCATCCAGTAGAGTGAAAAAATAAAACACTATCTCAAAAAATAAATAAATAAATATTTTAAAGTGTGATATCTTTCTTTCTAAGAACTTTATGCTGTGCAAGGGGACATTTCGAAATTTACAGATATACCATGTTACACTGTGTATTTTCTTGATGGTGCAAAAATTTTAATTTGTCAATTGCAAAATTTCGAATTGTAATTCTTTTGTACATTAGTACTTGCATCTAAAATTAAATGTAAAGGCAACAATAAAATTATATGACAACATATATATACAGCGCATACTCCGAAAATCCAGACTTGTTGGGACTTCGGCAATTCCAGATATTAGATCATCAGTTTAAATCTAGTAAGATGGCATGTAGAAATTATAAAATTAAAAATATGAAATCATGATTTAAATAACATTATGCTTTGGTTTGCATCAATAACATAATTCATTATAAATAATGAAGTATTTATGATCTAAAGGGTATCAAAATTTACAAAATAAAAAAGCTTAATATTTATTTGTTTACTTTATTAAAAATTTCTTTTAATGTAAGTTGTTTAAGTTGCTTTTTTTTTTTTTCGTTAATACTTTTTCTTTAATTCTGTAGACAGACATAATCTCTTGTTTGGTTACATTGTTGAAGTCCTGTAACTACTGTTTCGAGAATTCCAACTAACTTGTCAATTGAAATTTTTTCGTTTTTAATAACTTCTCTGTCACTTTCTTCACTATCGGTAGCGGTATTTTCTGGATCTAGAACCATACTCCTGATTTTGCCATTCATTAATTGATTGATGATTGAGAACCATTGTCATCACAATGAAAAACTTCTTTTATATCAACTTCATTTATTGCCGCTTCTCCCCATTTCTTTACAAAATTCGTTATTGGAAAATTTCACCTTTGTTTTGCGATATCCGAAAACCTTTAAAATTAGCGGCTATCATCATCAAATTTACTATAGTTCACTATACATATTTGGCTATGCATCATGAGCTTGGCGACTAACGACAAGTTGTTCCGATAAATTTTATCTTGCTTTTATTGCACACTAAGACAATTAAGCCTCAATTGTATTAGTTTAGTTATTTATTATACTTATATCTATTTCTTGCACATGCTTAAGTCTTATCAGAGTTCTAAATAAATAAATTCCCACATATACTTAAGCCTTATTGACGGCCGGTGCTGGATATCTTTCCACCTAATGCAGTCTCTGTGGGTCCTAAATTTTCGACCCGATATGGTCATACGAGCCCTGGTGCTGGTTCTGGGATTATGTGAATAAGAAATCAGTTATTCTTAATTCCAATAGCCCTAAATGTAATCTTTGGGTCTTTGAGTATCATCAACAAAATCTATTTTTAACACACGGAAAGAAATTTTTCTTCGTCAACATTTTTTAGTGCATTTAACTTCAATCTGTAATCATCGTCAAGCATAATGTCAACATAAAATGTTACCATACTCCTTTATTATTCAATTACTAACATAAAAAAAAAAATTGTTTACACATTGCTACATGAGCCATTACTCAAGTTGTCGTGTTGATAAACATGCGGTGTCACCAGGTTAACATCACATCAAGGATGCATCTATGTGGAATGTTTAGGTTTGAGATGTGTGCGAAGCAGATACACAGCAACGGAGCCAAATTACTGATCGTACAAATTTATGCTAAAATGATTGTTTCTTCAGAAAGAAGGTATTTTATTTAGTGTCAAAGTGAAATTAAGAATTGGGACTCTCCAGATGTTTTATTATGCGCGGAGTGGGAATCAAATGCACATGCGTAAAAAGCCTACGAGAAAAACGGTAGTTTTGAGGTATGGATTTTAGATAATGGACGCCTGGATTTCGGACTTTGTACTGTATAATAAGCCTCTTTCTACGTATTTTTTTTTAAATAGTATAACATATTTCCAAATAAAGAAATGCAGAAACAGATACAGGAAACTTTAAAATAGAAATTATTTTTAGCTAAATTTTAATTTTATTCAACAACAGCAAAACTTTAGCTTTACAAGATAATAAAGTTAGATATTATTTTCATTTAAGAATGAGAATCAAAGTATTTGTATCTTTTGAATTGTTAAACAGAAATTTTCAGCTCGCTAATTAATTAATTTTTAAATATTTTCCAAGAAATACATGAGACATTTAGAAGCAGACACTGTTGTGAGATAAACATATATTTACTGTTAGTTTTTATCATACTTAGTTTTGCATTATTTTAAATAATACATAAATAAAGATTATATTAATAATTATTAACTCACCAAAATTTAAAACTTGAATTTAAAAACAAATTATGGAACTGCGATAACTAGTCTGATTTGTTTAAAATCTACTTTTGATGCAAACCAAAGCATAATGTTATTTTTCACATATACTGACAAGATCAATCATATGTTAATTTAAATTTTTTATATGGCAGATAATCTCAAGTATCAAACTTTATTCACAAAAGAATGAAATTTAAGTGTCACCCGTTCAAAAATGATGCATTAATCACTTTTATAGCTTAAATAAACATTCTAAATCCAATGAACATTAAAACAATTATATTTCAAGTTATTCAATGCAAATAATTTATATCTGAAGTCACAATTTGCTGATCTTTATGAATATTCTAGATAACTGATTTTCAATTCAATATTTCTTGTAATCTCAAAAAAGAAATTAATTGATAATCTAACCCCAAAAGCATATTAATATTTGAATAACAACAGTGAGAAAATAATTTTTGCACTATTTAGTATATTTTTAAAACCAATAATAAGTTTCTAGAAGAAAATAGTTAAATATATTACATTTTCAAAACATTTATTGAAATGAAAATACAGTGTGCTTCAATGGATCTTGTTAATCTTTTATTTGAATAACTCATCAAAGAGAGAGCTAGTAATAACAAACTGTGTACACTTGTAAAAGGGTCTAAAGGAAAACTTATTAGAATATGATTATTTTTGTTCAATTTTTTTCCAACTGAAAATGGCAAATAGTCAATTACAGACTTTTTTTTTTTTTAACTCAAAAATGTATCTTTATGATAAGAGATTTGCAGAAGCACCCTGGAAATGGTCTACTGTCTTTAAAAATAGAACAAAGCCATTTCTAAGCACATTACGTGCATTAACTAGCATTTCTGAATGAACAAGTTCAGTGGCTGTCGATAAAGATCACATGCAGACCAATCAAAAGACAGCACCGATGCCCAAAATCCTCACTACTGTTAAAGCAATAATGGAGGAAGACTCATCAACATCAATTTAAAACTTGGTACTAGAATTTGACATCAATCTAGCTACAACATGTTGAAAAGTCCGCAAAAATCTTAATCTTTTCTCTTACAAAATCAAATCAAGACCACCTCTTGACTGTTGAGAAAAGACTGGAGTTTACCAAATTTTTGTACCAAATGACTGAAAATGGTTTCACCCCCATCAATATCAGTTTCCAGCATACTTCTGGTTGGATGGATATGGCAGCTATCAAATTTGTCGCAATGACAAATAAAGGTCATTGACAAGCTTTATCCTCCAGAAAAGGTCACTGTCTTATGCACTGATAACACCTTCAAGCATTATTTTTCTCACTAGACTAGTGAATTCAGAATGTCTCTACATCAAGTTCTTAATGAGGAATGTCTCTTATAAACACTGGATCCAAAACATATGATTTCAATAGAATGGAACTCCTCCACATTCAACAAGTGACTCCTAGACTTGCTGTGACCTCAACATGACAATCAACATGACAATCATGCCCTCCAAAACAGCTGAAAACAGTGATATCAAGTGTAACAACGTGTCAACAGGCAGTTTCAACAGACAAACTCAGGTAATGGAACACTCTGAGCTGAGATTTCATTCTGTAGTCTCATTAAAAGCAAACATTTTAAGAAATCCATCTTTTATTTCCTTTGCTTTCATGAGTGAATCTTGAAAATTTAAAATAAAGAAAAGTTATTCATTTTTTGTTTTCTCTTTCAAGACCCTCTGAAGAACTCTGTACATAAATAATAGAATAAAGTATGTAATATGCTTATTACCACTGTGTTGGTTTAATTTTGAACCAAGGGCCAAAAGTTTATTCATAGGAAGGTTCTTCTGAATTTCTTCCATGTGCATTTGTTTTTGCAATAAATGCACTCTTTCTGGCCAGTCAGAGGGATCAAGTTCATCTAAAAACAAAATTTTAGTTTACGCTGTTTAAGAAATATTTGGAATCAAATGAAATATTTCCAATTTATTTTTTAAAAAAAAACCTTCTGATTATCTGCATCACTGGGTTCAACATATGGTGAACCTAACCAATTTCTGGCATATTTTTGAACATACACGTGATATACAAATTCATACATGTGCATACCACATACATTTGAGTGCATATGGATTCATATGCTTTACATTTAACCACCATTTTGTTGAACAGTACTCACTAGTAGTAAAAATGTAAATATTGACCACTTAGATTTCCCCCCCCCTTCTCGTACAATTTCTTGTTTCCTAGAAAAAAGCTTCTCTTTTACCATTATTCACTAAGGGAAAAAAAAGTTCTGTAAGCCATAAAAATAGTGAAACAAACACATTTTTTTGCCTATTCACAAAGTTACCAACGAATCAGCAACTTTCCATGGAGATGTAGATAATCAGAGAGAATTTTATCAGGTATATACAATGACTTTTCATCTTTAAAACTAATTTCTAATCAATTGGGAAATAAGAAATTCACACTGAACAGATTTATTTTTATATTTTTATTACATCTATTTAGAACAGATATTTTTACTACAGCATAAAAATTCTAAAACAGTATTTTTTAATAAAGTATTTAACTACTTAAATAGAATAAATCGTATAATTTTGAAAATACCTTTTGATACTAAAAAAATGCACAATGATTGTCAAATAAATAGGTAACAAAAAAGCTAAATTACCATAAACTACATCACAAGAATTTACTTTTCTAAATAATTCCCAGATGGGAAGATTTTTCTCAAAGGTTTTAAGAATATTAAATAAAAGGCCATGTAGTTCTGTATTGGAAGAACAGCATTCATTTTTATCTGCAATTGAAAAAGGAAATCATTATTTTCTGAAATTACTATAAACATATTAAAAAGAAATTAATCATTTCAAGAATAAGAATCAATCATTAAGAAATTAAAATCATTTTATACCTTCAGGATGAAAATTCCTCAGCATTTTGATTTTCCTTATGAGCAATTGAAATAAAGGTGTTGATAAATATGGAACTTGTAAAGATGTTAATTTATTCTCATTTTTTCCATCTCTGTTCCTTACCAATTTCAAATCAGTCAAGTTAAAATAAAAATCTGCATTGAAGTTCTTAGGGTCCATTAAAGGATAAGCAATGACAGTCATGGAGTTAGCAGATTTTGTAATTACAAAGGTGAAGCAATTCTCAAAAGGACGAACACATTTTTCTGGACCTAATAAGATAAAAATTAAACAGAAATATACTATAGACAGTAATGTATTTCAGAAGCCAGAAGTTGAGTAATGTATTTCAGAATCCAGAAGCTAAGTGATATGTTAGGATTTAAATTAAAAGGCAAATATATCTAAATTATTGGTTTTATCAAATTACATGTGATTTTTATTCCTTCCATGGGTTTCAAATGAAAGCTTACTGCATCTTAAATTACATCAAATGTGACTTTATTGTGATGACATAATACAGATTTCTGTAAAGATATAACATAGAAGTACATACAGACAAGACAATTCATGATTGATACAATTCAATTCAAGGAAACTGACTGCATGAGCCATGCAGACAGAATAAGCAGGTTGGGATTATCAGCTCAAACTGAAGTCCTTCATTCGCTAAGCATGCACATATCAAATACCCCCAAAACTTGTAAAGTTTCTTTACATACTAGTATGTACCCTTTACTGTATTTATTACAGTTGTCTTACAAGAGAATTTCAAAACACTGAAGGGAATTATGAGTCACTCTACATTTTTGCAAGAGATAAGTTGTTTTTTTTTAAAAGCAGGAGGGGAATAAAAACAGTTAACTGCATCACTCTGTATTTGAAAACAATATACTCACATTTTATATTTCCAGTTGACACCATTTTCTTCCAACGTCCGGTACTCATTCCTTTATCAGGCTTTGATAATTCATTCACTAACGAAAAACCCATTTTAGCAATTAAAGCAACCTAAAAATAAAAAATAAAATATGAAACCTTCAGAGTTAAATGTGCTATTTGTATGCATTCATTAAGACATGAAAAGGAATTAAAATATTTTTCATTCAAATATGCAAAAAAATTTAATTTTTCAAAGAATAACATTTATACAGAATAAGTAATTATTATAAAAGAATAATGGCATGTAAAATTTATATCATACAATAAACACTGATTAATAAGCAGAATTATTTTTAATATAAAACTCCGAATTTGCAACACTTTAAGGATGGCAAATTCTTATTAAAATACAGCAAATCATATATTTTTTTAAAAGAATTTTCATGAAAAATTATCAATAATATGTAATGGTTGCTGCTTTTTTATGGCACTCAACAGTATATACAGATAACTCCAGTTTATGTAAGGGATGCACTTCTGGGCAAACTGGCATAACCAGGATAAATCTAGTTTCAAACAGTTTCACAGAATAAACCAAAGTTGATGTTATGGTTGGGACCATTTCTGGCATCCAATCATTGATGAACACTATAATAGCATTGCATTTAAAACTCTGAAATAACAAAAATAAATGAAATTTAAAAAAAAAAGGGGGGGAGGCAATATATTGGTCTTTGCAGCAGTCTAATTCTTTCATGTTAATGTAGAGAGTGGCCGTCTTTGTTATATACAATATTTCTTACATATAAAATAGCAGATATAGAAAATAACATTTATTATATGTAAACCCAGGACTTACGTGGAGATATTAATCCTTTCAAGAACTAGGAATGAATTCTCCCAAAAGCATATTCATACATGTAAAAGTTTGCATTTTATATAAAAAATTTTCCAATTAATTGATATTAGATCAAATTCAAGGTTAAATGTAAATAACTTCATTTATAACTTTTATTCAAAAAGAGCAACATAAAATTATGATTTTATATAAGAAGCAGTAGGAAAAATTCTTAAATATGACAGTAAAATAAAATTTTTCATTTCTAGATATTTTGCTTCAAATCTGCATTATTCTGATGCAGTTTACATAGAAGGTGATGTTTCTCTCCTGGAGAAAAATGAACTTTTAATAAATTTAGATATAATGCATCATATTAGGTTTTAACGAAAGTTTCCTGCCACCACAAACAGTTCACGTTGGCGTGTTTAATCATGTTTTGTCAAAAAATATTTGCCGTTTCAAAGAAAAAGACTTGCTTTAGAACACTGTGTTGTGAAATTTGTACAAAAAATAACATTATCATTAAGTAAAAGGTGCCTGAAATGGAACTATCATGCTACCAGATTAGAACCATCATTTACTTCCAGTTCTGTTGCAAAAAGTCAGCTACAGAATGTCACCAAATCATGTGTACAGCTTTAGGTACTAATGCTGTATAATATGACACCGTGAAAGACCATGGCATTAAAAAAGTAGAGAGCTCCGCCCAACCTATGGATGAAGCCTGCCCACAAGAACTTTTGGAAAAAAATCAGGATGCAACCACCCGAGAGCTTGCTAAGGAGTTAGATATTAGTGCCCTGCCCATCAGTTGCAATATGCATTGCAAACGTGATGTACGAGTTCAATTATTAGGTGCTGCATGAGCTGACTTAAGCAGATAAGGACAAACAAGTTCAGGTCTGCATTAATCTGGTCGAATATCAGCGCAAGGACGAAATTCTGGACTAGATTGTCACTTGTGATGAAAAGTGGATTTACTTCAACAACAAAGACTGAAAATGAGGTGGACTGCTCTCAGTGACACAGCCTGCAGCACTGCAAAGCGGAATTTGCCTAACAAAAAGATTCCTGCTTTGTATCTGGTGGAATTGCCATGGTATTATCCACAAAAAGTATCTGGAAACAGGTAAAACCCTCGACAGTAAGGCATACAGCGAGATGCTAGTCTGTGTTGACGCTGCTATCAAGGAAAAACACTGAACTGAGTTCCATGCTCCATCAAGATAATGCAAGACCACATTCACTAGCTGGACTCGAATGGCATCTTTTGCCACACCCACTATATAACCTCAACACCACTCCTTCGGACTTCTACATTTTTTTACACCTGCAACTACATCCTGCTAGTGCTATCTTCCATTCTACATAGGATGTCAAAAATGATCCTGATCTGTTTTTTGGACTTGTGGCTGCCGAGTTTCTGAAGGCTTTGAAAACTACTGAAACGTTGATACAGAATCATAGATTTGAGTTGTGATTATTACCTGCACTAAAAGTACTACTTTCATGTTTTTCATTTCTAACATTATTAAGAACATTTTTTGGCAGAAAACTTTCATTACAACCAGATACTTTTGTAAGCACGATTGTAAATTATTTAATTGTTATTAGACAAAATATCTATTGAGAAAATGGCAACAGCTAATTTCTGGATGTCGTTCTATTTTATAATTTAAAAAAATATACATTGAGATGATGTACGCTTGAAATGTTTAATGGTACGATGCAGTAAGTACGTTTGTTATGTTATGTACGCTTACGAATACGTTACGTGTAAGTTATTAAGATTTATCTTTAAATAAATGTTTGTCTTTTACAACCATTTTATGAGTGATTAATTTAACTACAAAAAGGAAGTTAACACTTTGCTGATCTTTCTTTAGAAAATATATTCACAAAATATTATTAATAGGCTGTTTCAATACTATTCTAATGTATGCATTTAACACAAAGATTAAAGACTGCTTTCATTTAACACAAATTTGATTCGCCTTTGAAAAGTCGTGTGTCAGCTCATTACAAGGAAAAATAATTTCAAAATTTATAGAATTGTGCTTTATTTTTATATCATAAGATTTTAGAGATGAAAGGTCTTTCCTCCAATAACAAGTTCTTTAAGATGCAAACTTAGTGTTTCTTTAGTTATTTCATTATTGAATCAACTTGCCCACCTATACATTTAGGAACTAATATTCTTTGAGAGTCCTTGACCATAGATTGCAGTTGGACCATGTGTGCCTCATCTTGTGTGCCCATCATCTACTGTGAAGGCAATGACAAATTAGTGTAACCATATTTAATTTAGAATATTAATTTTTCCTTAATATATTTATTCAGTGATGTTAAAAGTTGAATAACAAATATCTCTTGTATACTTTGTTCTTTGGATGATGTGTCAGCAGAATTGGTACTGGGAATATGAAGCTTCTAGTTGCCAAATTCATTTATTTATTTTGTTTTAATTGAATGTTCCAATGTAAATAAATGAATGAATAATTCCATTTATTTACTTTGCTTTCTTTGAATTACACAAATTTATCACTAAGAATGAAATTGTTAGAGATACTATTGATGAAATTTTCACCAACTTGAAAACTAAATCATGCATTTTCAAAATTAATGAAAAAGCATTCATTTAATACTACAAAGATAAAATTAGATGTACTTTCATTTTCAACTTTCTCAAGAAATGTTGAAAAATGGTTAACATTCGAAGACTGACTTCAAGTGTGCATGAAAATAAACTATATCTAATGCTATGAAATTGGAATATTTAACCCTCTGAGCATCATGACCGGCTTTATACGGTCATGAGACTTTTTGTTACTTGATATATATTAGCTTATAACTTCCGATATTTTACTTTCTTTAATAATGTAAATGTAATCTTAATGAATGTAAGTTTACGAAAATAGAGTCCAAAATAAGTAATTATATAAATTTAGCTAATAAATGCTGCATAAATACAGGTCTTCATGACAGATTTAAAAACCCATGCTGCTCAGAGGGTTAAAGGTTAGTTGCAAAATCATACAAATTATGAGACTGCTCGGCAGTTAACTTGAAGAAAGGTATTCCAGAAAAGAAGAATTATTGAGTTACTATTAAAGCAGCCAACTATTAATTATTATTAGGAAATGGTTAAAATAGCAAACTATTAATGGATCTGTGCAATCGTTAGCAATGTTAGATCATGAAGTTGAAGTTTTAAGTTATATTGTAATGAAGTTAAGTAATATTAAATACTGACTGTGCACATTCTTGTTGAACAATTAAGACATGTCTACTAGAAAGAAGAGGGAAAGAGAATTGAGAGGAGATGAGCTAGGTACTTTAACCCAATTGTTATTCTTACAAACTCAAGAACTTACTTTGCAAAATTGCAAATTTAAAGAATCTAAAAGTATTCCAATTTGAAATCATCAAAGACAAATCATCAATGTTCATTATACAGACACACAGATCATACTTTAATCAAATGCCCTAAATTTAACAGTATATCTGTGCTCCCCCCCCCCAAATGAGGGAGAATCAGTTTTGTAAAGTATAACAATATTTGTTTCATTTCTTTATCCTAACCACACAGTAAAATCATGTAAGAATATCTGCAAGCATAAATCACGTAAAGATCCCACAAAGAGTCCTTTGCATGTTGAAAAGTCAAATGCCATTCGAAAATGGAACCTAAATATGTAGATACTATTTGGGATATAATAACTGATAAGACTGAACAAATATTCCTTGGCAAAAGAGCATTTATTAAATATATTTAAAGAAAGTGAAAATATACGAATCAAACGCCTTTTAACTGGCACTGAAATTGGTGACGTGAAACCTAGTCATCTATTACAAAAAATGAAATCCTTGGCAACTAGTGATATTTCTGACATGGTATTAAAAACATTACAGATGGACAAATTTCTGCACCATATCAAAGATATATTGGCAGTTAGTGATGAAGGTATTGATAAATTGGCGATTATGGCTAAGATTTTCGACATGCATTCACAAACTGACTTATATGAGGCTCATTCAACTGAAGTTAAGAATTTGAACGCATCCCCAAATGCTTCCCAATTACTGGAAAAAATATCTTCATTGGAAAAGCAGATTGAAGAACTTCATCTGCATCACATGAGAGAAGTCGTCATATAGAAAGAAAAAACAGATCATCATCCAGAGGCAGAAGTAGAAGTCGGACGCGTTATAATCTGGATGGTAAGCTGTGTTATTACCACTTCACTTTCGGATCCAGACGCTTTCTGGAAAAACGTAAGCCGCCATG